GAATTTTCCGGTGTTTACGTGATGCATTTGATTTTCATGTATCTAAGCCACTAAGCCACCTTCGATTTCCAAAATAGTATAAGTAATTAAAGAAAGTAATACAAGATCGGTTACTGTTGTCGAAATGGAATTGGAGTTAAAAGAATTCTACATATTTAAAGGAAAAGAAAAGAAATTCTATCTTTATTGGTGCGACGAATAAGTTCCTTCTCTAACAGTAGTTCGCATGAAAGATGTACAGACCAAGATCAAACTATCTCAAGAGGAGGAAGGGGACAATAAATGTGGCTGTTTCGAAGTTAGCGGTGATCGAGTTCGTTGCAAGTTTGAAGAAATCGAATGTCCTAAAGCATTGCCAAAACCTTGTATAAACACAACTGCGGTGGATTGACCTTTATTTAAATACCCTAAATACATAAGAATGACCATATTTTAATTTCAATTTATATAAATATCTCTAAAAAGTAACGCTATCAAGGTGTTATCAAGCTTCAACCTCGATATGATTGGCTCGCGATCTTAATCGTGCACAACTATAATTATATTTACGTATAATGAAACAAATAAGCAAATTAAGAAGTGATTAAAGTTTGCTCAAACGTTATTCTCTATGCGATTAGCTAATAAATGCGATGATACTCATTTACTATAATCAATCAAAATAAGAATTGCAATTAATGCTTGAGCGATACAATAGTTATCACTACGTTTATTTCGTTGATATTAGATCGTTGCATGATAAGGTTACTGATAAAGTTGCTTGTGCGATCTCATTGAAAATGTAATTAATTGTAAATTTTGCCAAGTCAGGGATAAAAAGAAAGGAGGTCTGCCATAAAATGTTTATAAATTGAAATGATAAACTCACGTATTATCTTTTGATTAATAAAAAAATTACGATGTCAAACACATTTGATCTCCTTAAAATATTTTCCGCTAAGTACATTTATTCTCCGACGTTTTTTGTCCCGTTGATTAAGGAACGCAATGTCTAGAGGGTATCAAATTCTAATATTAATTTACATATATCTCAATAGAATTCATTAATACTATCTTTCCAATATTATTCATAATAATTATTCATCACGAATTTTGAAGGCATATATTTGCGTGATATCACATAAAT